GAAAATCACAAAATACAAAGACCTGCAAATAGAAATAGAACAACTGTAACAAAAGAAAGCAAAGATAGTACCAATAGTAAGAGCCGCCTTGGGTGCAATCCCAGAACATCTGGAGCACCACTTGAAGACCATCAGCATTGACCATCAGTCAATTGCAAAAGGCACCTTTACTTGGAACAGCTTATATCCTGTGATAATACCTCTAGCACCATCAAAAAACATCTGCCTAACCCAGGCCCTTGGGAAGGACTCGATAGATAGATAAAAATGCCAAATACAGTCTGGCTGGTGTGCGACCAACCATCATCATCATCATCATCATCATCATCATCACCATCTACTTCTGCACTCTTGCCAGTATAACTACACGGACACATGTAGGTTACCTTCGGACTTGGCAGATTTATAATATATAGAATGAATGAATGTATGTGTGTGTATACACACACATACAGTACACACACACATACACACACACACAGAGTATTTTCAAGTGTTTTGAATGGCCTTATTTCTAAGAAAGTACAGTTATATTCTTTTAAACAATTTGTTTTTGTAAAATGGATTTAATACATTTGTCTAAGTGTTTTGAATATATTTGCAGACGAAGGAACAGTTCTGAAATGCACTGGACAATAAGCGCTAATATGCATAATTTTTTCTCCTGTTTTACATGATACACATGATAATATTTTGGGGTTATATATTTCACTGGCATGTCTGCAGAATACGGTCAACAAAGTCAAGATGGCAGCCACGGCAGTGTGATTTAAGCTCTGCCCTTTTGTATCTGCTTATGAAAAAGAAGTAGAACTTCGGCTGCCCTGCCGCATCCACCGCCTTGGCTTAGTTGACAATATTCCTGCAGACGCCCCTGATATTTCAGATTGGTCCCTCCTGGTATAAGGCAAGTTAACTAATACCAGTTGTTTTATAGGCAAGGTTGTGATAATTTTAGTTTGTTCTGCTATTGCTTCTCATGTCTTTTTAAAAAATGTATTGTGTAATTTGTTATTTAATAATTACTGTATGTACAATTATGTATCATGATTAAGTATGATTATAAACTATTACAACCATTAAGTAAATAAATAGTCCCCTTGGTAACGGCAGAGCATTGTGCTGCGCTTCTGTATAGGAAATTTCTTCCTGAATTCCCCCCCCTGCAGAAAACGGGAAGTTGCTGATTTGGAGACTCAAACGGAATGGAGTTATTCAGACAGTGCTGCGGATTCAAGCGAGCTACGTAAGTTCTTGAGGAAGTTGTACTGAGAGTTTGGGTTTTCAAAGAGAATGTTAGGAGGAAGAAAATAGAATTAGTTGGTGGGGTTCCTTTAGGCCATCCTCCTCTGCCGACCTGCATGTAACAAATTGGTGGGCTTTGATCACCAGCTTGACTTTTTTGACACCCTCCACTTCACCCTGATTCAACCCTGCCCGGTGCAGAAATCCACTAAATTGTTTCCAAAGCTGGCCGCCAACCGCCTGCTCTAACTTCTCCGCGTACCTTTTAAAGTGCAGTGCCCATAATTGGAAACAGCGTGCCTAAGAAAGCTTCCAAAGAATTGTATTAAAAGCTTCTTAGCACTAAAATAAATAACCTTTATTTACCTTAGGTAAAGCAAGAAGAACTGTTACGGTTGGAACATTGACTTCCCAGTTTCACAAATTTAACAATCGTCACAATTTTGTTTGAAGTGAATCACCAGATTCTGGGTAACTCTGGTAGTTTCACATTCTGCAGAAAAGAATCTGACTCACTTGTTGATGAAAAATTGGAACTATACAACTAAAAAAAAACATAAAGCCCTGTTGATAAATAGATATGCTTGCCCAAAGAGATGATGCTGTTTTATTTGTTTAAGCCTAAAGACAAGTTAGTTACAGTATTAGAATTCTCTATCGGTACAGTTCCCTGGTGCAGTGTAATGATAATTCAGTTTTGGAAGCATAAAACTTGTAAAGTTGTATTTAGCAGAGACTAAAGATCTGTATTGCTCAGAAGATGGATGAGGTGCATAAAGAATTGGCAATTCTTCTATTTTCTCCTCTAGAGAGTTAGCTTTAATTGTTGTGTCTTTTAATGAGAAACAGGTTAAATAATACAGCTTTTGGTTTTGCTGCTTCCATATCAAAGACTGTATGTAGCTTTGGTAAAAGATGTAACTTTTTTTGTGCCTTCCAATCCGTGTTGACTCCTGGTGACTGGCTGGACAAGTCCCTGCAGTTTTCTTGGCAAGATTTCAGAAGTGGTTTGCCATTGCCTCCTTCCTAGGGTTGAGAGAGAGTGACCGGCCCAAGGTCACTCAGCTGGCTTTGTGCCCGAGGCAGGACTAGAACTCTCTGTCTCCTGGTCTCTAGCCTAGTGCCTTTAACCAGTACACTAGACTGGCTCTCTCTGTTTAAATGTTAGCTGAGGCCATAAATGTTATAGGAGCGTGGAATGAAATAGTTGCAGCATCTCACATGCTTTAAATTGAGATATTAAAGAATAAAGTACCAGGAAATAATCTAAAGAAAAGTTTTTTTCTGTTTCCAGAGAAAAGAAAAGAAAAGAAAGTATATTTGATGTTAGGAAGTATCAAGAGGCACCAAATACCTACTTAATTAAATTCTGACATGTGAACTTGCAAACACCAAGAATAGCATTTTGATAGTAGCAGATAGTAGAGTTCATTTGTTTACAATCTAAACATATGAACTCTAACTATTATATAGTCCACTGATTTAGTATGCAAATACTGAAAACAATTACAGTGTGTATTTATTCTGGAGGATCTGTAGATACAGTAGTGCTAAAAGTTGATTGCTCAGTCTCACATGTTAAAAACAACCTTCTCCACCTCATATTTCTTCTTCAATTTCTTTCTTTTAGAAAATTAACTAATTAACTAACCAATAGGGGCGGAAAGAGAAGTCAAGAAACAATTATATGGAAACATGGAACCTTTAAATGAATGTTAAATGTTAAAAAAGGGAAGCACTGGGTGGGTGGAAAAGTCAAAACACAGCTGTAGCTGATAACTTTTTTGTGTCCAAAGACAAAAATATAGAGAAGAAGAAATAATGGAAACCTGATTTCATACTGAAGATTCTTCTCTTGAGCAATATTTCTCAGTTGTATTAATATGCTGTTGGACTTCTGTAATGTAATCTGGGAAGAACATAACATGACACTTGTTATCTTCCTACAAAGTTACTTGAGTGGATCATGACTTTTGTCCAATGCCATTTCTTATGACATATTTGAAGAACCTCTTAATACCTGGACCAGGGTTCGTCAGCTCTCCAAAAAGGAAAAGATGGAATGTGATAAATCCATTTCATCGTATAGCTGATATTCTTCTGGCAAAGTCAATTCTTCATGTATTAGGTCTTCCAAAGGCTGGCTTTTCTCTGGTTTTTCTGAAATTTCATACATACGCAAATCATTCCCAAGGTATAATTTTATCCTAAAGGTGAAAGATCTAATCAGCTTTCAGTAAATCACCTACTGTATAAACATATCTACAGACTTCCCATGATTTTCCAGCTACAGTGTTCTGTTCTCAACTGCTTGTAATTGGCACTTTCAGATCTTTAATAGTTTTTTTTAACCCTTCTTCATCTCCATAAGAACATCACTTTCAGTAGCTGGTGTTAGCAAACAATGAACTATCTCTCATAATTGAAATAGAAAATAATTACTTGTTTTTAGCTCTAGTAGCAAATAAAGCAGCAATTAAATGGTTATCAGAATATAAATATTGACAAGAGAGCCAGAGAATGCTAACACATTATCTGGCCTGGAAGTTCAACCAGTACAGAAATTAGTAGAACCATCATTTCCTGTGATTTGCAAAATTGCACTTGTTTGTGATCATCTACAATTTCCAAATCCTTTTCACATATCTATTTTCAATATCTCCCAACATTATATTTCTTTTTCCTAAGTTAAAAAAAAAACTCCATTAAATTCTATTCTGTCAGTCTGCTTGATTAACCTTGATCATCTTGAATTTTGTTTTTATCTTCTAAGGTATTAGTTATACTACCCAATGTTGTAGCATCAACAAATGTCATACAGTAGCATTCCCTCCACCTTTTTATTCAAACCATTAATAAAAATGTAGAGGAACACTGGTCCCAGAACTAAATCCTGTGGCACTCCATTTGAGCAACTTCTGAGGAGCATTTTTAGTATCATTTTCAGATCAGTTGTGAATCCCCTAATACCCATGCAATCTACCCTCTACTTAATCAATTGCTAAGTCAGAATATGATAGAGTACTTTATCAAATGCTTTGCTGCAAAATATATTGTATTTCCAGAATTTTCACAGTCTATTAAAATAGTAATCAATCAAAAATTGAAGCAAACTAGTCTTACAAGTTTCATCACCATCATCACCATCATCACCATCATCATGATCATCATGATCATCATGATCATCATCATTTATTAAGCTTGTATGCTGCTCATTTCTCAACGACTCTGGGTGTATGTGTATGTGTATATATCTATATCTCCATACAGATTTCTGGTCATCACTGCATTATTTTTAAGGATCTTACAGGTCAGTCTTCTTCTCCCATCTACTCTGAAATCTTCTTAGGGATTGATGATGTGTGGTGTTTCAAATCCTCTTTTTTTCCTTTCTAAATAGGGCCCTCCTCTATTCATTTGATACTTCCTCATGCTTCAGAATTTCTCAGTGATAATGAATAGTTTGGTAAAATAATCAGCAGATTGCTGGACTTGGGAACCTCATTGTTGCTATTAAGGGTAATGAAAAGAATCAGGGAACTAGAAATTAAATCCTATGAAATGAGATAGAAGGAGGTGGGTCTGATTAACCTTGAGAAGAGAAGACTGAGGAGGATACAGTATAGCACTTTTCAGATATCCAAAAGGATGTCACACAGAAGACCAAGAGCTAATGTGTTTCATTCCAGTGCAAGATGTGGAATAATGAATTTCAATTACAAGAAGGTAGATTCCAAATGAACAATAGAAAAAAGTTCCTAAGAATAAGAGCAATTCAACAGTGAAATTGATTGCTCACAGAGGTGGTGAGTTCTCTTCAACATATGTGTTCAGGTGTAGGCTAGACAGTGGTCTGCGTCAGATTCTTTCATCTGCATTCTTGCACTGAGCAAGGAATTGAACTCAATGACTCCCATGGCCTCTTCTGACTTTATACTTTAACATAACAAAACTTGGGGGGGGGAAAAAGGAATTCTAATTACAAATTGCTTGATGTGTCTGGTTGTATTGTTCAATGATTGATTCTATAGCAGTTATCCTCAGGTATGGTACGGTACAAAATTAAATGCAATTCACTTGATAAATCATTGGGTTTGATTTTTATCATAATATTTTTCATTTAGAAACAGAGAAAAAGGACCAGAGAAGTACAGATGGAAAAGAAAAAACTGAGAAAATAGAAGGTAGTAAGTTGCAAAAATGGCAGTATTTCCTTAATATTCCTGAAGTTGGTATCAATTCCAATCCTATTAGGACTTATTAATGTTTAGGAATCATTAATAGACATTATAGTATATCTTAATATGTGCATCATAACATAAAGAGGAAATTCTAAGATACTGGTTGCTTCTACGCTAGGATTGTCTATTGTTGCTTGAGGCATCATTCTGCAATCAGCTGTAAATAGAATAAAAATTGTGGTTCTTGCTAGTGTGTCTAATTTTGCCATCATAATGCCAGATTGTGCAATGTGGCATATCATAAAGTCAGAGTCTATATTTAGATAAACTCATACCATATTTAGTACAATTAAGTGTGTTTCTTAAGCAAGCCTTCCTAACTAGGTGCTTTATTACACTACACTGCCCATCATCCACAGTTAAGGATAATGGGAGATGTAGTTCTTCTATTTGGAGTTCTTAGAACATATCAGGTAGAAAAGAAGAAAAATGGAAAGTAGGGTAGAAGGAATCATCTTCATGTTACCATCACATTTCAACCAGGAATATTCAGAAGACCAAAATCTGACAACCACTAAGTCACATTACTAAAATAAATAGAAGTCTTCCAAATTGGGAAAAGGTTTGGATGTGCCAGCAATACCAGGATGGATCTACTCCTGGAAGAAGATGTTTCTCATAATTTTTCAAGGAATTCCCAGCCGCCTCCTGGTTTCTGACAGAGCTGTAACACCCAAATGGGTGTTCTCAGAGGGACTAGTGAGAAAAGTTCCTAAAAGGCAAGCCCTGGGTGACTGGTCCACACTGGAGCCAGCCAGTGGACAGAAAGGGCAAGGAGCAGAGGGACAATCAGTGGGTTCATGCAGTGGCCATAGACTGGACCAAGTACCAGCCTCACCCCTTGGCCAAGCCACTGCAATCTGGACCAGGATGTCTGAAGTTGGCTTAAGAATCAGCTACACGTTCCAACTTAGGCTACCATGCCAAATTGCCTTATGTCTAAGCATGTGTATTGGATCCCACAGCCCCTCCTTTCTCTGTTTCTAACCCATCCTCTAGGAAAACCAGTCTTCACTTTCCCAATCCTCATAGTTACAGGCAGGAATGATAAAAGAGTGACTCACTTATCAAGTAGGTAGACTGAAATCCACTTTTTGAAATTGGGTGGAGTCTCTGGGGAACATCTGCAGGTTGGAATTGTTCATATGTTACCTTTTTCTCATAACTTTGTTGTTATTTATGTTTTTGTTACTCATCTCTCTCCAACTTTGAGGCTGTGGCTTAAAGAAAAATGTAAATCACTTAAAATAGCCCCGTAGTCTAAGCACTAGTCAGTAAAAATTGATAAAAGTTCATAAAATCAAAAGAAGGCTATGACTTTCTTCCAAAACTTTAACTTCAACAGGAAGGAAGGAAGGAAGGAAGGAAGGAAGGAAGGAAGGAAGGAAGGAAGGAAGGAAGGAAGGAAGGAAGGAAGGAAGGAAGGAAGGAAATAAAAAAGTCTTTAGGAGCATTCAGACAGAAGAGATGCTGGAGGCCATTGTCTGAAAATGCTGCTGCCATCTGTCTGGACTCCGAATATAAAGGCTAAATTGGAAAAGATTTGGTTTGGCCACCTATCACCTGTCAAACACTTAAGGGAGCCAGTTCAAATGGCCAAAACACGAAATCTCCTAGGTAGCACTTCCTGAGCAATTCACTGCTGCATTTTGAAGGCTATAAACTTCTTTGTTTGACAGTTCTACCTTTGGATGGAAGAGGCAGCCTGTCCATCTGTAAAGACCATGAGAGAAGAACAGAAGGCACGACAGCATTCAGGGGAAAGGATTACCAAGGTGTTTGTTAAAGGAAGAACCAATCCATGTACAGTACTTAGTAACCCATGTCCTTAGGGTATCTTGCATGTACACTTTTCACCCAGAATCCTTCCATGGTATTGCTTCTCCTGTTCTCTTTCACATACCTAGACCTCTGTAATTTCTATAGAAGGCTTTCATTTGAGACTTAATATGTGTTTGGGACTATAGCGTTTTTGTTGTTGTGATTCAACAGAAATACTCTCTAGTGAAGAAGTTGAAGAAGAAGAAGAAGAAGAAGAAGAAGAAGAAGAAGAAGAAGAAGAAGAAGAAGAAGAAGAAGAAGAAGAAATATA